TTTAGCTACATTTTTTGCATGCCATCTGGATACACTTTAGCCTTGTTTCTTTATGCTGTCTGACTTCTCAGTGAGAGAAGGGTGAGGTGAAGAAACAGCAAGAAATTGCTTGTAGTTTCTTGAATTAAAATGAAGCTGAAGTTCTTTGCAAGCTTCATTGCAAAAGGCTCCTTTCAGTAGTTCAGACCTATATCTATGTCCAATTGCATGTGTCTAATTCCACGTGTAAAAGTAATAGGAATTTTGAGGTGTTTCTGTATATCTTAGTATGCTCTGCTACTGCGACTATTCCTAACGCTTCTTGAACAACCTGTCAGCTTATTGTATTGTTTAGTGCCTTAAGTCGTGCAAACTTCCTGTTTACTTCAGTAACATGCTGATGTTTTAATTTTTGTGAAGTGTTTGAAGATGCAGATCTGAACCTAGTCATCCCATCTGCTCTATTTGCCGCTGTGGGAACAGCGGGTCAGAGGTGCACAACTGCCAGAAGGCTGGTGAGTAACTGTGTGTTACCTGGTTTGGGTAGCTCTGAATTTAAACTCAATTCCAGATTAGCTCAGAAAATGCCTAACAATTCCAAATATTGTAGAGAGCAACAGATAATATTTGAAACGCATTTACTATGTCAAAAACAAGTATGATGGGAAAGTAAGATGGTAGTTTGTCATTCCACTATAATTCAAGCTCTAAAGGACTTTTTTTGTATGTGTTTCTAAATGTAGTGGTGCTAAAACTTAGGAAAATAAAACTTACCATACTTCCTTGTAGTGGTTTCGTCTGGGATAGAGTTAATTCTCTTCCTAGTAGCAGGTATAGTGCTGTGTTTTGCATTTAGTATGAGAATGATGTTGATAACAAACTGATGTTCTAGTTGTTGATAAGTAGTGCTTATACTAAGTCAAGGATTTTTCATCTTCCCGTGCTCTGCCAGTGAGGAGGTGCACAAGATGCTGGGAGGGAGCATAGCCAGGACAGCTGACCCAAACTGGCCAAAGGGATATTCCGTACCACAGGCTTTGGGCAACCTGATCTAGTGGAAGGTGTCCCTGCCCATGGCAAAGTGGTTGGAACTTTAAGGTCCCTTCCAACCCAAACCTTTCTATGATTCTATGTCATGCTGAGTACATAAGTTGAGGAGTTGGCCTGGGGGGCAGTGACTGCTGCTCAGATACTAGCTGGGCATCAGTCAGTGGGTGGTGAGCAATTGCATTGTGCATCACTTGTTTTGTATGTATTATCATTGTTATTATTACTATCTGCCTTTCTTTTTCTATCTCATTAAACAGTCTTTATCTCAACCCACGAGTTTTCCCATTTTCACTCTTCTGATTCTCACCCCCATCCCACTAGAGAGGAGCAAGTGAGGGGTTGGGTGGAACTCAGTTGCCAGCTGCGATTAAACCACAACATTCCTGTCTTTTGTCTCTTTTCACTGCCAGAGCTTCTTTGCTTGTACCTGCTAAAAATTTTGGTGCAGGATTTAGTTTCAGCAAAGGAAGGGGATGTGTGTGTTGCTTACTTTAATTTCTAACTTATCATTTTCAACAAGTTTAAAGACATTATAATGTCAGCCTGTGTCTGTATAGTCTTTGCAGAGTGGGGTTAATTTGGTAAATATTCATCAAAATTGATGTGGGTTAACTTTGGATTTACAGGAAGGGCAGTGATTCCTCAAATTACAGCAATAAAAATCACTTGAAGAACACATTGTTACTATTGATCTGAGATGGGGTAAAATTAAAACAGGTTTTTGTTTCTTTGCTTCTTTTAAATTTTCATGGTGAAGATATAAAATCTTCATTTCATGATATTGGTGCTGGTTTTTTGCTCATGTGTTCGTTTTTAACTTTTGGATTTGCTGAATGTGTCTCCACTGTCTCCATGCTTCATTCAGCCCTCTTCACAGTGCGGTAGTGTTTCAGGAATAGTTACATAGGCTCAGCTGTCTTACAGCCTTCTTACCATGTTTTGTTTAGTTCCTCCATAAAAGCATCCACGATGAGGTGGTTGCAAAGCTTGCAAAGGCCTATGCCCAGGTCCGCATCGGTGATCCATGGGATCGTAAGTAGATATTTCCAACTCATGGGTTTGGGAGGCAAGTTTCTGTTTGTTTATTTCTGCTTAAATTCCAAAGAGATTATGGAACAAAGCTATCTAATTTTAGCAGTTCACCAGGGAGTGGAGATAGCTGGTTTATTTAGAATACAAACTCTGAAAGGGAGGTGAAGAGTTCAGATAATACTGCTCGTCTTGGACAGATTAAATAATTACTCTCAGAATGTCATTATAAGAATATTTGCAAACTTACACAGTTTTGCTGAAAGTATGTCTTTGGATCTTTTGTCTTCAGCTGACACTCTGTATGGGCCTCTTCATACCAAAGAAGCAGTGAAAATGTTCCTTGATGCAGTAGATCAAGCAAAACAACAGGGTGGCTCTGTGGTCTATGGTGGGAAGGTGAATGACTTATATTATCTCCGCTACATTTAGTGCTTTATGAAAAAAATACAATACCGTGGTGCCTTTGGCCAAAATCGTACCTCAGTTTGTCCTGTTCATCATTGCAGGATGTTAAACTAGTCAGTCTGAGAGTGTTAGATTTGTGATTCTGTCTTTAGGGTAAAGATGGATCTACCTGGAAGCTACCTTCTTCTCCAAGAAGCAGCTAAGAGCTTTCGGCTGTTTCTTGCACTACTGCCTAGTTGCAGCTGGTAGTGAAAATACAAACAACAGTGTAAATGGTGAATATCAAACATATAACAAAGAAAATTTTTTTGTTCTGTCCCTGGCTTCACAATATCAAACTTCAGGAAATACTGAAGATTCAAGAGAGCCACTTGCACATCTTCAGCATGTGGGATGTTTAATTCTCATGGACTTAACGTTCTGGGAATTCTTGTCTCTCACTGGCACCTTCTTTATTCCTAATACGTTCTAATAAATTCTAATCAGCTTACTAAGCATCTTACCAGTAGGAGAAAGGAAGTGGTTTTTGTCAGTTGCTAGGCTTTTGAAATTTGATTACCTGCTTAGTAGACTAAGTTATGCTTCTGTATTTTAAATACTTAAAACAAGTAAAATTTAAGTTATCTATTCAAATGACCTGACCTTCTGATTGCTAGGCACGACTATGGTAATCAGACCATGCAGGATTCCCTTCCTACACTAGTACTAAGCAGGATGTGGGTTTGAACTTACTGAATTGTTTCTTTTTATGTGTTTTGAAGGTTATAAATCGTCCTGGAAACTATGTTGAACCAACCATTGTGACTGGCCTTCCTCATAATGCGCCCATTGTCCACACTGAGACGTTTGCCCCCATACTGTATGTGCTGAAATTTGAGGTAAAATAACAATGGGGAGTTAGTCAGGTGTCAAAGATGCTAACAGAAGGGTCAGGAGAGAGATTTCAGATGTGTGTCATGTTCGTGTAATTGTCCTGACAATTCCATTTGTGCATTTTCTGTGAAAAGCACTGGAATTAAGATGAGAGTCTCTACAGGAATATATTTTTGTTGTTCGTGTCAATCTGCTCAGGAGCAGGTTGTGTGTTTTGTGCAGTGGTGGAGGTATCCTATCCCTGCCTTGGTGCATGTGTATTTGCCAAGTGGCATTCAATATATTTGCATTATGGCTGTGGTACATTGGGCTTTTTTTCACAGTGCTTTGTAACTGCTTTGCTTTGAATGTTCATGGTTTAGCCGTTGACACATGCTTCTTTTAGGAGGAAGAGGAGGTTTTTGCATGGAATAATGAAGTGAAACAAGGTCTTTCCAGCAGTATCTTTACCAAGGATTTGGGAAGGATTTTCCGCTGGCTTGGGTATAATTTAAAGTATTTTTCTACTTTCCTGAAGACAACAGTCTTTCAAGTATTTTGTAAACCTGTGCACAGTGCTAGTTCAACATTTTATAGCCCTCATTTTAGGGAACGAGCCCTTCCTGATTTGAGGATTAATTGTTTCTTGTCTTTGTAGGCCAAAGGGATCTGACTGTGGCATTGTGAATGTCAACATCCCAACCAGTGGGGCTGAGATTGGAGGTGCTTTTGGTAGGTTACTTGTGCTTTTTCCTTTATCCTTTAAATGATGAAATCCTCTAGCATCAAGTCTAGAGACTTGATATTGTTCCTCAGGTTTAATTTTTTTTAAAGCTGGGGGGATTTTTTTTTTACTAATGTCTTTGGAAGAGAATAAAGCATTACTGCTGTAAAACTAGTATAATTTACGTCTCCTCATATTATTTTTCAAGGTTTTAATCAGTCCATTCCATTGATTTTTTTCTGTGGAAAACAGAAATTGACTAGAGGTAGTTGGATTTCAGCTTTTAAGAATACCTGTATTTGTTTTTTAAATATTCCATGCATCTTTTTTTCCCTTTAATCAAGGGAATGTAACTCAGAATTGTGTTCTGGATATGTTTAGAGATGTGGCTGAGTGGAAAACTGTTTAAAACAGTTCTAATTAAAATAGTGTTGAGCATTTTGATTGTGAATGTGTATATAAAAATTACAGCATAAACTATTTTTGTCATAATTCTTCAAATATGTTTTTGACTTTGTTTCTCTTTTTTGTATATACTGAAGGAAGTGGAGAGAGGAAAAAAAAAAATTCTCGCCTTGCCATTTAAAGAGTACAAGAACCAGCACATTGTTGTACTCTTGTCTCATGTTAAAATAAAATATCTTTAAAACATGGTCCTCTGGTACCAGCATGATGAGACTTTCAACTCCAGGCAGATGTTTTTTGGATCAAGCATGGGGAGAGAGTATGAGTGAGTTGTATGTGGTGGTGTTCTGGTAGTTTATTTCAGATATAGAACAAGGGTAAAGGAATAGTTTTTCCCATGAATTTTTATAAAATGTCTCACCTCCTGGAGTTATTCCAGATTCCTATACTCAAAAAAAATTCAAGTTTTAATGTATAACCTTTTTTCTACAGGTGGTGAAAAGCACACTGGTGGGGGAAGAGAATCTGGTAGTGATTCATGGAAACTTTATATGAGACGGTCTACTTGGTAAGAGAGACTTTTTAAATTCCAAATAAATGTAAATTACAGATAAACTTGCAGAAGTTCGAAATGTATTAATCCTTGAGTGCAGGAGGTTATCTTCTCTAAATATGAGATAACCATGTATGACTGTAATTGCCTTTTCTTCATACAAGAATTCGCATCTGTGTCCTAGTAGAACATTATTTGAAGGGTCTAGATAAAGACCTTCCTTATTCACTGTTCTTCAAAATGAAAAAAAAAAAAAAGTTTTTTTTTCCTTCTTGCTTGATTTTAAACTTGGCTGAAAATTGAATTACTGAAATTTGTTGGGAAATTCATGAAGTGGCAACCACAGTGAGATGGCCACTTTTGCCAGTGGTGGGTAATTTAGCTACACATTGGATATCTACCCATAAATCTCCTGACAGCCTGTAGTGGTTCACCATTCCCACTCTTTGCTGGCCTCCCTAGCCTTTAACTGTGCTAACTTTGGTTTGCATGTGAAGGCTTATGAACACGAGAAATCCTACCTTGATTTTTCTGTAAGGACATTCTCCTATTAAGAGATTAAATAGAGAATGACATTTTCTTTTTGATCTATGAAGGAGGAGATAATGGGGAATGTGGTCTTTCCCCATACGTAGTTACTATATTGAAAACCAGAGTAAATTCAGTTCATAACTTTAAAGAAAACTGCATACAGAAGTCTTTTATATACGTGTGACACAAATCAGAAGCTTTGTACATAGGAAGTGGACTGCATGATCTGTCCCAGTGATCAAGTCTGGTCTCTGCTTGTTTCTTTTCCAGTACAATCAACTACAGCAAGGATTTACCTTTGGCTCAAGGAATCAAGTTTCAGTAACAGCCTCATGAATGGCCGTGCCATGAACTCTCCTAGCATTTCAGGACCAACCACCTTCTAAGCCTCATGGTGAAGAAAGTTAATCATCTGAAACTTCTCTGCAGCAAGGATACTAATCCTGTCCAAAAATTAGGTACTTCAGTCTTCAAATGAGAAGTATGTGGTCTTTAGGAAGAAGGAAGGGTGACTGAAACTAACAAACTTGGATTCAGGCAGCCTGGATAACCTTCTGTTGCCTTATCACTATATTTCAGTATCAACGCTGTCTGTATGTCCTGCCTCCCTGCCAATTGCTGATATTTCCTGCTAGTGGATCTATGCTTCAAACTTATGTTATGAGTTTCCTACGGATACCTGGTGCTGTGGGGGTGGGCAGTACAGGGCTATTTTTCAGTGGATAAATAAAAGTACATTTTGTGAGATACATTACCCTTCTAGGTTTTTTCTTCCATGGTTTTGGAGCATTTGGAACATTCAGCTGACTGTCCATTTTCACACACTGAGCTGCTAGCTGGGGGAAGTATCAATGCTTTAGTTTTCCTGCCTCTCTTTCGGAAGAGAGATTTTCACCTTGTGCATTCGGAAATAAGGGGTAAGACCAAGGGTTGCTGCAGTCTCTTGGAACCTCCTCTTAACGCTAGAAGGAGTCACAGCCAATTCAGGTTGTCACAGCCCTTGTGACACCCTGCAACCAAACCAGCCTAACAACAGGTGATGCAGCCAGGACGAAATACTCTTGCAGAGGGAATTTGCTAGGATAAGGCAAATTATTTATGTATGTTTCACCTTAGGTGAGGGTTTCTGCTGGCTGCTCAAGACTATGGCCATCAGTGCCTCATTTAGGAGCCTTGCTCAGAATCCAGGATGAGAAAAGGTATAGTGCTACTAGGCTGATTTTTACCTTTCTACAGAGTAACTTCTGAGGTTTTTTGGAGGAGATTTCTCTTCCTCTCAGTCTTATGTAACAAATTTCCACAATCTCTGAACACGGAAGAGCTGTTCATTTTGGGATTGAATTCTGAGACTCTAATTTCACTTTTGATTTATTTTGATGTTAAGATGTTACAATAGGTATGTCACCCAAACTGTGTTAAATGTCCAACATACCATGATGCTAGCTGGTCTTTCACCTTAGTATCTAGCTTTAAAATACATGGTGTTTTGAATTTTACATCCGTATTAAAGAAGATATTTTGAGTGTCAGTTTCTATAGAACAAACAGTAGGCAGCCAAAGTTTTTTCCTACTCAGTCTCTTAAAGCCAATCCTCTCAAGTAACCGGTTTTTCTTGTTCCCTCGTGTCTCTTGTAACTGTTAATAAATTATTTCGTTTTAAGAAGTAAGCCTGAGTCATGTTTTGCCCGAGACCATGTTTGGTGGGTGCTCCCTTTTCGGTTCTTGTCTCGACCCTCAGTCCAAAAAAACCACGACAGCTGGGCAATTTAACTAGGAAGCAGATTTCATTAAATAATGTTCTGTGTATTTGCACACAGAAAGAACTGAAATCCCCTAAGCAGATAGATAAATCAATAGGGAGCAAGGAAACAATCCTATTTCCAGATTTAATTGTTCTGCAAATAGCACAAGTTACAGAAGCTGTATTTTTTCACTGTTCTGTGGCACTGAATGTTGCTATGAAACTCAACAATGAAGAATAAGTTCAAGAACTTCTCTCTTCTGTTTTCTTGCTGCTTATTAGTAGTTTTTGGATAGCCTCGTTATGTCACATCTGTTGTTCTAGAAAATAAAGGCCTTTACTCTTTTGCGATAAAATAATTTCACAAGTCCAGTGGTTTAATTTACAGGAATAAGGTTAACTCTGCCATCTGAGTTTAGATATCTGAAATCAGGTCACAGAACGGAACAAAAAATAGGATGATGAGTCTGATGTTTGACTAGTCTTCAAATAATTATCTGAAAATGAGTGTGAATGGAAAAAATGCAGGAACATAATCAAAAGGGTGACTATAGCAAACAGGCTAAACTTTTTTTTAAAAAAGGTTAACTCGATATTTTTATACATAACAATCCCTTCTTCAACACAAACTGTTGAGTGGACTTACCTTGAAATACTTTGTAACTACCTCTATGTATTATGAATAAGCCCATTAGATCCACTTTTATGTTGGCAAAAAATGGGCTCTCTCTGTAAGTAGATTACAAATTCATCCTGACTTTTGCTGAGTATATTTAATTACTGTTCCAAGGATTGCGTGATCTGCAGTGTCACCGGAGTGCTGTTATGGCATTACAGCAGGTGATCATCACACTTCATCTGCTTCCCAAATAGCTTTGAATTCCTTAGATGATTTTTGCAATTTGCTTCTCTCCACCCTTCTATTATTTAGTTACCTGTTGTTGAAGAATCCTACCTGAATTGACTAGCTGAATGACTTCCAGTGAAGTGGTTCTGGGGAGAGTGCCTTAAGACAGCTGCAGGTTGTAACAGGTTTTGGAAAGAATTTAGGTGCATGTAAGCAGTTATGATTATGATGAAATATTAAACTAAGGAGGTTTAAAGATACTGTAAGCACCCTATTTCTCAATTTCTGCTTTAATTTGGAAAGCCCACTCAGGAGATTGGAAACGGCATTAGCTGTCGTTGGGTTATCTCACCCAAGGAAAGCAATTTGAGAATTCATAAAACGTATCTTGGAGCTACTGGTATATGCAACATAATAGAACTTGCAGTTTTAATACAAATTCTACCAGCGGCTTCCACTGTTGCATAAACTTAATTACCACTGAGTGTGTAACACCAGTGAATAACAAGTGTTAAATGACACATGATCAATATTTCATTTGTTAGCACAGTATTGCTTACTGTGAAATGACCTTGATGGGAACAGTCTTGCAGGTAACTTCCTTTCTTTTTGCCATGTTATTAACGAAAGAAAAATGCAAATTCTACTAATGTCCTTGCTAAACAAACAGAACAATTGCTTTTTTTTTAATGAACAGTGAAAACTCAAACCTGCAGGCTGTGAGCTGCAGGATGCTGCTCTGCTGTTCTATTGCATCCTACTCCAGTTTCTAACAGCAGAGTTGGTAGGACAACTGTTTTCAGAAACCAAGAACACTACTTGCCATAGGAGGTCCCAACTTTGGTTTTTGCAAATTGTTGTCCTGCAGTGAAGAATTTAAAACACCCGGGAACGTGCTCACTGTTATCTTTCAGTATTAGCAGACCAACCCATTCATATTATATCATGTTATTTTCTCGTGGTATTTCTGTCATTCAGTTCTGTGTTTCTGGATGGGCTCAAAACTATGAGGCTGCCAGAACTCTTTAATTGGTGGTAGCTAGCTGCCTATGTTTCTGTAGGAAATATTGTATGTGTAGGTTCTGCATTCAAGACTCAGTAGCCTGTACTAATCCATTAAAGTTGTCTGCATTAATCTCAACAGGAGCTATGGAAAAAAATAATGTGTAAATTGCAGGAGACCTCTTTGCCTGGATTGTCTTCTGAATTGATTGCCATGTTGGTGCTGTACCAATGTGTTGAGCGTGTATTGCACAAGTGTATACTCTTATTTCCCTATATGGAAAAGGAAAAGAATTTTTGAGGCTTATATATGAGTAAAATGTCTTAATCGCATAGAATTAAAGTCCTGAGTAGAAACAGTGGCTTGGCAAGGACTTTTTTAGTGTCTTGTGTTTGGTATTCTGAAATGTGTATTCCTTGATCAGCAAAACACGCTGTCGTTTGCTACGTGCCCGGTGTGTGAAAACGAATGGATTAATTCCATTTGGTTGTTTGCGAACTGCAGCTGCCACTGAAGTGCTTCATGCCTGACCTTGCACTCTGAACGCGCGGGTGCTTGGTGCAAATATAGAATCATAGAATCATAGAATGGTTTGGGTTGGAAGGGACCTCAAAGATCATCTAGTTCCAACCCCCCTGCCAGGGGCAGGGAAACCCTCCACTACACCAGGTTGCCCAAAGCCTCATCCAACCTGGCCTTGAACACTGCCAGGGATGCATGCAAATATACACGCGTATATTCACGGTCTCTCTTTCATCTGCGAAATTATTAGCATTGGTTTTTCCGTACAGCTCATTGCCTTCCTTCAGATAACAGGGAAACGCTCCTGCGTTTTGGGACGAGGACTTGCACAGTGAGGTGCAGCAGCCTTTTTTCCATCGTCGCGTTCCTCCTGGTGTCGCTGTCGGTCAGGCTGTCGCCCGCCGAAGGGCGGCTCGGCCGCGATCCCCCAGCGCAGAGCCGCCTTTGCGTTCGCTAGCCAGCTGTGTGGAACACGCACCTCTTCCTTTCCATGTCTTTTACACGCCGGCACATCTGGGAACACTACTTCTCAGCTGGTAGTTAAATACCCTTTCTTCTGCAAAAAGCCTCAGTTGATTAGTGCAATAGTTACATAAAACATTAACTCCAAAAACCCCACAAAGGATAAAAATAATAGTGTTTCAGCCGGGTACTCATCTCCAGGGAAGAACAAATTGTTTAGTGCATACTTTATCCAGCATGTTACTGTTCTTCAGCATTAGGGCTCTGTTTTTCTGCAACTTTGTTTCAAGGTGGGGTGAAAGGGGACAAAAGGTGCAAGCTACGTCTCTGAACTTTGGAGCAAGGCACATCCTCCCATTACATCACAGTCTGGAAAGCTGAAAGTTAGTGGTAATTGTGTTTCATGCATCCCTGGTGCTATCCTTACAGATTTCCCAAACCTCCTTTGATGTGGCAGTGAAGTGAGCATCATCAGTTCACTTATTCAGGGGAGTGCTAAGGAGGTAATGAAATGGTAGCAGGCAAATTCAACACTGAAAGATTGAGGAACAGCAGAGGATAAACATCGTCTATCTTGCTTCTTTTATTTAATCCCCAAACTACTAATAAGCACTTGCGGTCTCCTGTCTTTTGTAGATTTTAAGAGGCGACTCACTCATCGGCCTATGTTAGAGATTGATCTATAATGATACAAACCTCTGAGTCTCATATGGCAGCTGTATTTGAAAAGTAGCTAAAAAGCACAGCACATACCTCTCATTTGAGTTGTATTTCCTTTAACTACATTTTTTACCACAGTTGCTGGTATTTTTATATTTTTAACACATTTATCACTGGAAATATGCAGGATACTCGTATAATCCCAGAATACAAACCTATTTCTAGCTCATATGTGACTGTATTCACTTGAGTGAACACTGAGTACATGACTGTACTCACTCTTGACTATGCGTTTGAGAAATTAGGGCTATCTGTTTGCCCCATGAAGAGTAAAGACATTCCTTCTCCTCTCAATTTGACCCAGATGGCACTTGAGTTATGGTCTTGGTTTAAGGCAGAACAAATAGCAGAGTAAAGGTATGGTGATGTTTCATGGTAGAGTGCAAGTCGAGCTATCCTCCTAAACTTTGCTATGGTATTAAATCTTGTTAGGTTGGAAAAACAATGTGAGGATTTTAGCAGCAGGAGAGGGTATGTAGGATCATGGAGTGACAGCAAAGGAGATAGAAACTTATAGCAATAAGAAAAAAGTTGGTGACAGAGCACAAGGTAGGAAATCTAAAAATGATGAGTCAAGCATCGCTGTTCCAAAGCAGGCTTAACCAATGCTGGCTGCTGTCACTCTGTCTTGCCCGCTCATTTCCTTTCCATATTTTTTCATTAGGAGTGTTACAGACTTTTTTTTTCCTCCTGCCAATTTAATGCTGAAGTGGCTCTCTGCAAAGTCTGATGAGTACTGTAGCTGTGCAAGGGAACCTGTAGGAAGACAGCAACCAGCCACTGGCTGCAGAAAACGGAAGGGTTTGGAAAGTGAGGATGAGGAATGCAAAACTACCGGCAAGGGAGGTGTTGAAGTCAGGGTGAAGGACAGGCAGTATTGCAGAGGAGAGGACCCCGTACCAGACTTTTAGATGCTGAATATTACATGCAGAACACTGGGGAAGATAAGATTGGACTAGTGCAAACAGGAGGTGGGGCAGAGTGCATAAGAGAGAGCAAATTGAAAGAGCACGTTTCTGAATATTGTATAAAGGAACAAAGGGATAAGAGAATTACTGGATGAGGAGAACAGGGAAAGGAGCCTGATGTAGTTTAAGCTAACACATAAGGCTGCAATTAGGGCAGATAAAACAAAGACAGACACTATAGAACAATATCATCCTAAATCTCCAAATCTATTAAGAGTTCATTGATTGGAGCACAAATCCAGCAGTAGGACAGGCTGTCAAAACTGTCTATTATGATTAAGGAAAAAAACCCCAACAACGCAAAGAAAAGCATCTGAGAACAGAAGAAATGTTCTTGGTTTGATGATTGTGTTTCTCTTAATGTTTTCTTTACTGTAAAAACTGTTGCAATGTCATTCAGCATGTTTTGTGTAAAAAAAAAAAGACACACACCAAACTCTTTGTTCTGTGTTTTTTTTTTTTTTTAAATCAGCTCTGATGATGTACAAATCCATACATTTTAAATCTCTGTATTTGTTAGATTTATGCCAGCCAGTATTTGTCTAAGTACTCTAGCTTTCGTGCTGATCGTTTCATTCACTTTTCTGGCTGTTCACTGCCTGCTTCCATCTGAAGAATAAACACTCTGAAAGGCTGACCCTTACGGGTACTCAGCCTGTGTTGTTCCGTGTTGTGTTGTTGCTACAGGAAATAGTAAATATGAGGCATACCTTGCACAAGTCTTTTTATAAAGAGTTCTTTAAATCACAAATTTCCTAATTACTGTAAGTAAGAAGTTTGTGATTCCTCAGAGTCTTAGCTTGTTTCTTTTTTTGAAACTGGGTTGAGGCATTGGTATTTCAGAATTCGTGGGGTTTCCAAAGAGTAAGTGGTTTGCTTGGCTTATAACAGCCCTCAGCTAATCAGGAAATATATTGTGGATTCTGTATTTAAGTTGCTAAGAAAATTTGTTTTGCAATGTGGTTTAAAATACCAGGAAACCACGGTCTTTCATTATTTCCCTATGAGAGATCAAAATGAGTTCTGGCGTAGAATTACTAAGCCAAAACAATTCATCCTTCCCCTAAATACCTATAGACCAACATGTATTTTCTGTAGCATCTCCATAACTTCACATTTGTTTTGTTTATCTAGTTCATCATTCTGTAACTTCTCATTCCTCAGCACCGAGGTGAGATTAGTCAACTTTTGTTACAGTTCAGTAAATCAACAGAGCAGAGCAGAAAATATTTGTGCTCTTCTCACTGCTCTGGTTTAACACTGTTTTTGTTTGAACTCTACATAATTCTCTGTAGTTACTCCATAACGATATTTGTTGGGACTGGAGAGTTTGAATCTGTATATGTCTCTACCAGGCCACAATTAAGACTCAAGATACTAACTTTTCTTTCTTCCAACAAGACAGAATGACTACAGTGAGCACAGCCAGAGCACAAATCAGTTTCTCCCTGACCTCTGTTGAGAGCGGCTGTTGTTTAGCTTTCATTTCCTCCACAGCTCTTCCCCAGGAGAGTGGGTGCAAGAAGGTGTATTTTTCTGCAATACACTATTCTGCTGTTCTGCTTCTCGAAGTGGTGAGAAAAGCTGTCTAGCCTTTCTTGCAAGCTGGAGCTACCCTGCTGTGACTGCCTGCACCCACCTGGGGAGCATGCAGGCATCGCCTCTACCCCTGTCCTCCCAATTTCCTATCAGCACAGGCATTTGCTGGGGGTCAGAGGTACACTACAGGGAGCACGCACACGGCAGCCTGATGACAGTGTTTCTGAGGGTAAGAGCAATGCATGCTCATGGCAGTGCATGAGCATCTTGGGCTGAGAGAGATCTGCTCCTGTCTGCAAGATTTCCAGTGAAATCATCATTGCTCTGCTGTTACCCGATGCAGTGACAGCAAGGCAAAAGCACAGAGATTTCAATGTGAAGATAGCTCCTTTCACACAGCTGTGGACCGAGCACTACAAAGCAGGATTTTGGCTTTTGCATTGAGCTAGAGGCTGAGCAGAGCTTTGGTAAAACTGGCGTCTCGTCCTGGTGGTCGCCACGCAGGAGCTGTGCTGGCTGCCCTCTGGGACTCTGCTGTCTCCTCTGTGACCCACTGAATGGTCTGGCAATGAATCAACAGCTGTCCCGCAGCCTTTGGCTGCCTGATTCAGTAGGTTTTCTCTCAGCCAGGCCAGGGAATCTCACAAATCCTGTGGTAACTGTTTTCTTTTGTGACCAGGGTTATATAGGTCTGTGTATGATGGTCCTACCCAAGTTTGCTCTTAAGTATAGATAAGTGTTGCCAAAAGGGAATTAGCACCCAAAGCAGCAACTTTCACATCTACCCACAGGAGACAAACATGTTTTTTCACCCTGGACACTCATCATTTCCAGCTCCTCCTTCCTCTGCCAAACTGGTTACTCAGATGCTCTAACCTATTTAGCAGAGCTGATGCAGCAGAGGTGATGCATCGTATCTTTGCACTCTAGACTGCGCACAGCATAACCCCAGATGATTTTCCTGGAAGCAGATTAGGGATACTGATGGCACTGCACCACAGGTGCATGGGTGGAGATGGGAAGCAGCAGCCTGTGCCCAGGACAGGGGGTGACGGTGGAGCGGCAGCAGTACTGATCTTTAACAAAGGCAGCTGCTGGCAGGTAGGACAACTGTCACAGTCAGCCTCACTTAAGTGCTAAATGGTAGAGGAGATGGAAACGTGCATGTGCCTGAAGTGACTGGGGCAACTGTATGACTAAACCCTTGAGGATCAGGCAATGCTGAGTTCTTTACACTCATTTTTAATCTCAGGAAAGACACCAGCCGCTCAACCTTATAAGTGGTGTAATAAATAATAATAATGTAGCTGGCCATAAGCGTGAGGGACTGCTCATTGTGTGTGCTATAGAGGTGAGGGAAAGACAGGTAGTGTAGGTTATTCAAAAAGCCCTGCACTCCCATGGCCAGGCTCATGACGCATGCTATTGCCAATAAAACCCCAGGTGTGCAATTTACTCATCAACCAGCCCTAGGAGAGAAACAGGACGATTGCTCGTGACTTAGAGGAACAAGAACCACCACTGAGCCTACAACAGAGGTGTAAATGGTTATTTTCTTTTGTTTGGCCCATTTGCACTTCCTGAACTGTGCCCTCACTAGGCCGACTAAATTTTAGTAGTAAAATTATTGCCTTCTTTTTTCCTCAAGAAACCTATATTGAAAGTAGCAGCTTGGCAGTGACTTGCACAGCGCTGCTTCTCAGGTGTTGTTGTTTGCACAGCTGCCAAAAGGCTGTCAGCGCCCTGAGCCAGAAGCCACTGTTTGCTCAGACCTTCTGAGACAGTACACACTCACCCTCTGCAGCAATTCGCACTTAAATTGCATTATCATATGTGTTATACAACTGTATGTGATGCGAAGTCACAGGAAAATGCCCTAGGAGTCCAAATAAAGACCATCACAATACATAGACATTCGTTCTTTGAACAATTTCTTGATCATACATTGATTAGATAATCTAGGCTGCTAATATTTACTTTTTGACGGGGCAG